CGGGCAGGGCCCGGCGGGGTGGGGTGCGGGGTTTGGCGGGCCCTGTGGGAGGCAGCAGCAGGCGGTGGGCTCACCTCGGGTCAGGCCGGACCTCGGTTGAGCGGGTGTAGGTGTAATATCCTAAATTCCTTGCTGCCTTCTGTGAGCTAAACTGGATCACACAGCACACTTCTTGAGCAGGAGCTGCACTGCAAGGAAGAAATCGAAAAAGTCTGACAAAGCCCCATTTATGGGAACAAGTCATACTCGAATTGGGCAAACTGTGTGCAGCAAGTGGGTATTATAAACTTAATTTTTGTAATCAGGTTTTCCCGTCACCGTGGACAAGGCAAGTGCGGAGCTACTATGTGGACTGGAGGATGCTGCGGGATGTCAAGAGACGGAAAATGGCATACGAGTACGCGGACGAGAGGCTGCGGATCAACGCCATCCGCAAGAACACCATCCTCCCCAAGGAGCTGCAGGTACCCACACACGGCTCCAACTGCTGCAGCGTGCTCTGGGCCACAGCTTTACAGACCCAGGTGGCTGTGCCAGGTCACAAACGCTGGCATTTCCCCAACTCCGGAGCACAGAGCCATGTCGTGCTGCGTAGTTACTGCTAGTGCCCAGGCATCTTTCCCTTCTGGGGGTGTTTAGCAACACAGCGTTCTCCTGACTGAGGTGGTTTATTGTTTATGGTTTAGCGCTGCTCATGTAAGCTGTAACACTACATACAGTGAAGTCCCATTTTTTCCCTTCACAGCTGTCACTAAAATACATTTCCCGGTATTCCTGTAATATTGGATGTTACATTTTATAGTCTCCTACATAAACTTGAGGTTATTTTTTTCTTACTTTAAAACCTGGAAGGCTGATCCAGCCAAAGCCACCAATTTGTTCAGTTAGAAATACTTAATTTTATTCTTTGCCTGAGCTCCAAGCAAGGTACAAGCTGCATGAGATCTGGGTGTTAGATCTTTTCTTAAAAACACACATACTCACTGCCCTGCTCTCAGCCTTCCTTACTAAGCATTAAAAACATTTGCAAGTATCAGAAACAGTCCAACAGTAGTCCTGTGGATCTGGCCATGCCCTGTGATGAGATCCCTTCCCCCTTAAGCATTCTGTGAGAAAAAGTGCATGATCTGGTTTTGCATATGGACTTCACCATTGTCTTGGCAAGTCTGGTCTGTGCTGGATGTTCTTACGGGGTGGGGGGGGAAACAAATGGACTGCAGCTGGCTTTGCTTTTCGTATTCCTCAGCTGCTTTTGTCACCTCTTGAAGTCACAAAGACATAGCAGCAGTTAGATTGAAGACTCCAGGAAAGTAACTTTTCCCCACCCCACAAAATTCTACTTGGACTCCAAAATTAAAGTCTTCAAAATTAAGCTAGGCAAAAAAAATACTGCATTTGGCTGTAGTAGATAGTGTATAAATACAGCTACATGCACAAGTAAGATGTACAAGTGGGCAAAGCCAGTAACTGAAATACGATCTGAAAACAAGAAGTCCTACTGACCTTGCTGTCACTGAAGCTGGAAGTCTTGCTGCTGCTGTCTTCCTTTGAAGGCAAACCTACCTTTGGAAATTCACCTTGCACTAGAGCTTTTCAGCACTCCTGCAACAGAATGGGAGTTTTTGTAGTCCAGACCTTCCTTTTACCTCCAACTGCGACTTCCTCCCATGGCTGAACACAGGATTCTTTGAGTCCTCCTGTCCTTCAAAAAACAGCAGTTAGGGAGGCTTACCAAGTCTCAAGTGATTTCCTTTAGGCTGCATTTCCCTGCTGAGCTCACTTGTTTTTCTGACACTCCATTTGCTGCTACCTGGGGCTTTCTGAAAACTGTTGAGCTCTCTTGTGCATGAGAAGACCTTTCTTAAGCCTGCTTATCAGAAGAGCCACTTAAGACTTGTCCTCCTCTGCCTATAACCCCTTCTGAAGTATCCCATATGCAAGTCCTTTTGCTGACTTCAAAACATATTACCTGGGAAGGCAGTTAATAACATATATTTAAGTTCAGCTCATCTCAAAGGAGCTGTCCAACCCTGCAACATCAAGTGGATTTTGACCAATTACTGACGAGGTTGCTCAGTCCATAATAAGGTTAAATTTGAGGTCTGCATGTGGATCATTTTACATTTACTGTTAAGATGCCCAGAAAGAAAGAATCAAGTGAGGAAGACAGGCCTTAAGTTCCCTATGGGGTCAGGAAGCTTGTGGTGGTACCTGTTCTACAGGTAGATTTTTGAGACCTGGCAGTAAGCCCCCTCAGAGTCCTGGGGAGCACAAACTATGCTATTGACTTCTGTTTCAGGAAGTGGCTGATAAAGAGATTGCTGACTTGCCCCGGGACAGCTGCCATGTGAGGATCCGAAATAGGTGCATCCTGACATCCCGCCCACGGGGAGTGAAGCGGCGCTGGAGGCTCAGCAGAATTGTGTTCCGCCATTTTGCTGACCACGCTCAGATGTCTGGGATTCAGAGGGCTATGTGGTAGCTCACAGCATGGATATACATTCAGGCAAAGAACACAAAACGGGCTCAGTTGGTGTGTTTGAGTAATTAAAGCAGGACTAGGAGTCCAGCATCAATGTCAAACTAATACGGTAAGGGTGAGAAGCAGTGTAGATTCATTAAATGATCTTTACTGGACTGCAGTCGTGCCAAAGTCTCGAGAAGCAGCATAACCGCACTAAGCTGGTTTTTCTGAGAGGCAAGGGTTTTTCTGAGGGGGAGAAAAAATTACTGCCTTGTTTGATTGTTGCAGAACTAAGATGAAGTTTGTGGTATAAGCGACATCAGAAATAAAGACATACAGCACAAGGCTCGTTTAAGCAGTTTTTTTGCCACCATACGGTAAGTTCACCATGGTAATTCGGGTAGAAACATAAGTGAAATTGCACAACAGGGCAAAGTAGTATTCTGCCATGAACAAGGATGAACATGAACTGAAATTGAAACCTGGCCTCAAGTTTAGATACTTTTGCTATGCAAGCTTAATATATAAACAAGCAAAGTTGAGAAAGAACCTACTAGAAACTACAACATGCTAGTATTTATCTCCTGCTTGCAGTGCAGCACTTTGTGCAATGCTTTAATAACAAGGTAGCAAGTAAGTCCTATTCCAGACCATAACAGGAGAGTTAATGGCTTCCTTAATTCATCAGGTAACATGAAATCAATTTGTCCTTGGGAGAGACACAAAAAGGAAGCAGGAAGAAAACAACAACAACAGGCCTGCTGCTAAGCTCATGTTTGCCCTGTACTCTTCTTCAAAGCTGGGCAATAAAGGGGAGGTGGCTACCCTGTCCCCCTCCCTAGCAGTGGGGCCAAGCAAAACCGTGCTGCCACCAGATGAAGATGCACAGGCAGCAAATGGACAGCAACACATCACCCCTATTTAGTCAAATTCTGGAGTTAAAGCTCTCTCGATATACTTCTTACTCTGTTACCTTAAAACTCTTAAAAGCTGATAGGGACAGTGGAGCTTGTCTCTTCCTCGTATGCTGCTAGAGCCAAGGTGAACTCACTGTCCAGCATCAGCACCTCGCTGCCCTCTTGCTACTGCTGCCACCTCAAAGATGCCCCAAGGAGGTCAGTTAGCATGTTTTCATTTTTAAAATTAAACTGGTTAAACAGCCAGTAATTAATTTCTGAGAGTAATCATTAAATTTTAATACCGCAAGATCAACACTACTGTTTCTGCCTGTCAAGTGCTTGAAATAGTGGTTCTACTTTCCTACATCTCCTCCCTTGTTTCATGTTTTACAGTTCAACATACTTTCACACCGCATAATGAATGTGACATTAACCACAGCAACCAGATGGATACAGCTGTCATTTACAACAGAGCCCTGGCCCCGTCCTAGTTCAGGATTTCTTTTCTACATTCTGTTCTCAGTTTCACAACTCTCCACTCATCTGAGATGCTTCTTCAAGGAGGAATAAATAGATACCTACACTCCACTCTTCAGGAAATGGTGAACCACTCGACTGAAGGAAATGCATATAAGCTATTTTATTTAAATATTTTCTCCAACCTGAAATGGAAAATTACTGTCTTTGCTTGGAAGAAGGTTGTGTAAACAATGATCTTTGCAGCACAGCATGTCTCACGTGGAAGATCAGTATTAAGGCGGCCCTTCGAGTACTTTCAAATATCCATTGGTATGTCCCCTTTGGATTGCTTTTCTCTGCTTTCAACCCAGGCCTTGTTGATGGTGCGCTTCATTTCATCATCCCCTTCTGCATACATCTTTTTTAAAAGGTTCATAAGCCCTTCGCTAGGATCTGAGGTGTCATAGGCAGCCTTCCTGCAAGACAGATACATATGAGAAGATCAGGTATATCCAACAATTGTCTGCAAAAAATTAAACGCTAATACTTGTTTGAAATGTCCTGGTAATGGTCAGGATTTTGCTTTGGTCTATAGACTCTGGCAGTCTTCAGTCCTGCCTCAGCTTCCGAGTTAGGAGAATCCTGAAGAGCATCCTTAAACCAAATGCAAGTTGTGTAGTATACCTAGCGCTGTCTCAGTGAGGATGACAGGAAGCATTTTCAAGTACACATGACCCTGGAAGCACCACCCAAAAATAAATTTTAGGAAGCAGGAGTGGAATGTGACAGACCCAGAAGCACCAACATCTGTGTGCAGTTAATGTGACCAGTGAATATAAAATAGAAACATTACCACAGAGCTCTTTGAAGTGACCACATTGACAACCCAAAAGGCATTTTCTGCTTCTTGTTCTTCAGATTATCTCCAGAGGTCAACTGACTAGGTTTTTTAACACCTTGGATTTCAAAGCAGTTTTCTCAACTTAAGCAGCCAACTGCCAAACAGTGCCACCCACATGGTAAGCACCTGCTATGTACGTAATGCCCTCTCTGGCAGAGCTGCCTCTCTCTACCCCTTTTTCAGAAATCCCTTAGGTAGTTACTGGGTTCTGCAGGCTGCCAGAAAAACATGCAGATCAAAACACATCAGCAGAGGGAGCACATTCCCCAAGCCACTCATTTGCCATCTTGTAAATCCTCAACGCCTGGAATAAGGCGGCAATACTAAGGGTCACAGTCTGGGCAGCGCCAGGGCTTCTCTGCACAACACAGGTTTAACAGAATGAATCTCTCCCTCCAGAAACCTGCATTAGTAAAGTCACCTCTTAATCTCCAATTAAGTAATTTGAGAGGGGAAGGTACTTTCTGCTCTAAATTCAGGTATGGCTAAATAGGACTAACCAGTTTTAACAAATTGTCCTTTAAAGGTACACAAAATGAACAGCTGTTGGCAGGCGTAACTTCTCAGAAGTGTTTCCATGTTTCAAGGTGGGTATATACATTCTCTTCTGGATAAGAACATACGTGTGTATTGTAAAATATAAAAATTATATAATTTACTACATTATATGTACATAAAAAGTCTCTTGCCCCAGGTGTTTCCTGCTGTAATTTACCACCCTTGTATATCCAGTGCTTATGCTGCTTGCAGGTTTGCTCCCAAGCACTTGAAGTGATACAAATTAGCTTCAGACTTTGTATTGTGATCGAGGTAAACAAACCCTTGTTTTGCCAAAAGGACACTGGGATTTCTGTGCAGGCACTTCATACACAGGTGACAATACTACCAATTATTTTGACCAGCACAGCTGCAGGGAATATACATATGTATTTCTATATAATATACACTTAACCTAAAACAAAGTCAACCCCGCTAGAGCTGATTTTGCAATGAATGCAGCCATCAAAATATAAATGAATCTTGAATTGGTTGATTACCTTTAGCACTCTCACTGCAGGTCTTATCTATCAAATTTCCTATGATGCAGTCTTCATCATTAACAAAAAACCAGTAGAAGAGTGACAAACAGCTACTCAAAGTGTATCTCCTCCACTGCCAGTCCTACTAATACCAAAAAAAATTCCCAGCCTAAAGATTCTCAAACACCTTAAGGCCCTGTAAGGGATTCTCACCGCTTGCAGTCAGTACAGCACAGGCCTGCTCTCCCAGCAGTCCCAGAGCACTCTGGAGAACGAGAAACGGGAAATGAGATGGAGTGCTGCAGAGACACTTACTCTTTCTCTTTGCTTTCTTTTTCCACTTGAGTGAGACAATCCCATTTTTCCTCCCGCTTCTTCTTACACATCACCAGGACCATGTCTGTCTTTATCTGTACAGTAAACAGCAAGGCATGAATTTAGAATGTTTTGAAAAGGGATGCAAGTCACAACCACAATGAATCAGGTTAACTTACAACTCTTTCTATACTCACAAATTCCTGAAACATTCATCTCAAGCACTGATTATTATGCAGCACATAGAAATTACGGTACATGCGCAGCTTCAGAGTACAGTGTTTTAACCTCGTTGTGGACAATGTAAATGGCGTGATTAATGTCATACTAGTACAGGACTGTAGTACCAATACAGAACAACGTACAGCGCTGCAAAAACACCATTTGGTGATTCTCAGGATGCTAAAAGTTCCCAGGACTGCGGGGTAAAGGGTGGCTATATTTTCTAGACTGCTGCAAGAATACCAAGTTCAGGCAGAGGCTCTCGCAGTTTATTTCTCCAAGGATAAGAAACTAGTTTTAGGGCATTGCTTAATCTTGCAATATGTTTGCAAGTCACAAGCAAAGCCTGTTTAATTGCGACCCTGACCTAAATTTCACAAAGAACTCCTGCGTGCCACAGCAGACAGGAATCTGTTGGAGGTGTAGCTTAGCTTAGCAAGTACGTGACCACTACTCGCTTTTATGCTGTGTTAAAAATCACCAGAACATCACCCTCATTTATTTCAGATGTTTTAATTTTACACTCTCCAATTTTAGCGCAGTTTCAAATTGAGCCATGGTTTCTCCACGTCTGATGTCACTAAATGCAGAACGCACACAAAGTACCCAAGGCATCCCTAAGCCCAGAAGGGTGCTCTGAGTAGCACAGAAAGGACACGATCACCAGTCGCAGCCAGCAGCAGTGACGTGTTACTAGCGGCCAGTTCTGGAGCAACACACCCTTACAAAGGCAGAGCTGGTTTCTGACTTGGCTTTGGGCATTAAGCCGATCTAAGCTTCAAGATTCTGGTCTGCTGACAAGCCTCTCAAACCTTAAAATTACAAAGGTTTCTCAGAGGTATTTAAAAACACAAGGACGCAAACAGATGCTTAGTGGAATTTTCTGCTTAATTATTTCTGAAATCATGTTGGAGCGCTGTTAAAAAACCATACAATATCCAGACAGGATCTTTTGAAATAAGAGCCCATGGATTCCAGTGAATAATTCAACAACTACAGATAAAAAGAATCACATTCAGAGTGAAGAGACTTTATGGATAGAACCAAGGGACTGAAAGTTAGCACCAAGTCTCTTGAACTGCAGTCAGGCAACAAACACGGTATTTTGTGAGGGACCCAAATAACTGACAGCCAAGGTGCACTGACCTTTCTAGAGCTGCCTTCCACAGAGATGGGCTTAAGGAGATTGTTGAAGGTCATGGTGTAGTTCTTCCCACTCAGATTCTTCACTAGCAGATCAAACGACCTGGAACCAGAAAGTGGGGGAAGAAGGGCACAAATACTCCAATTACTGTAAGACTGCTGTGCCTTGCCACCAAAAACAATGTCTGAAAGCCCTTTAGCAGACAGATTTCTTTGGAAAGCATGGCAACAGGCTGGAATCATTTTCTTCCCTGGGCTTTCAAATCTTCAGTAGGACTTAATACTGAGAACTTAAAAGGGCCTGTCCAGACTTCACAAGAAATTAAGATCTTCTACCTCACTGATCTCCTACAACCTTGGAAAGGCAGATTTACTTAATTTACACTTCTGGTTCTATCACCATCAAAAAAGAGGGCTAACACTACATATCCTGTCAAGCCTGATGAAGCAACAAGCATTTGTAAAATTAAAATACCCTAATACCCAATAAGGAGAACTATACGTAAGGGTATATGCCAAGTGCTACTAAAAGCTAACATTGGTCAAGTTTAAAAAAAGAAAGGAAAAAAGGGGAGGAGGGGAAGGGCCAATCCAGAACAGAACTCAACACATGCCTGCATTCCCAATCACGTTTGTGGCGTGGCACAAGAAGATGAACTCACCTCTCTGTGAAATTCACCTGGACATTCTCAGCGGGAAGCTTCTGAACTCCAGTTAAAGAGACATAAATCTTAATAAATTTATCTGACTGATCCCAACCTGCACATGAAAAAAAAGAGATTAAGTTCTACCTTTCCTCCATAAACTTCATGCCTTCCATTCCAACTCCCCATCAATGACTCGGATCTCTGCCCTATTGAAACAATCTTCAGAGGGATAGGGGAAAGACACGAATCATCCAGGAATAATTTGATAGCAAAAGGAGGTTTTCACATGTTGCCCTGTCCCTTAATTCCTGCAAATTCTGAGAAAACCCATGTATCAGCTTATGTAGAGGGGCAGCAACGCTGCCTGTGGAGAGGGAGTCAGAGGTAGCTGTCTGCTTTTGCTGCAGTTTCCTTGACCCAATTTTTCCCCTGCTCCTCGCATGACAAGTATCTTGAGCAGTTCCCTTCTCCTTTCACCTACATGGCGAGCAGAGAAGCCAAAGCTCGCTCTTTCGTTCCTGCTAAGCATTAGGCAATGGAAAAATACCAGTTGGTACACCAGGGATCGTCAATACACCCCACCAGTACCATCACACAAACATAAGTAGCATGTGGCTGGGATGGCACAGTAAGCATGCACTGGCTTTTAAAGTGGGGCGGGTCTCCAGTGTGCAATAACCACTTAGGAAGGCTTCTATATAACGCTGAATGGTAACTGTAACTCGCACTAACGCTACCTTGCCTTCTCTTCAGAGAGATGCCCAAGCTCTAGTAAGCATTCAGAAAAGTAATCCTACCATAATTGTTTATTTTCACTGTGTACCCTCCCAGCGATGACTTTTCTTCCTCTACCACATCTTTAGGCTTCAGTGGAGGCTGATTCTTGATTTCTAGCTCTAACTTGTGCTTCTCTGTCATCAGGACATCACGAAGTCGCTTCCTTGTGGCTTTTGTAAGCAATTCTTTAACCTCTTCCAAATCTTTCAGTAACTGGTTTAGAAATAAAAGACCACACATATATCTGTTAGATACAGTTCTTTTCACTCAAGGTTTGCACCTGCACTCTTTCAGCTATGGCACTTCCAAATCTCCCAGCTGTAGCAGTTTCAGGTTTACCAAGTCACACAAGCAGATAATTAGTTGGTTGGAAAAGACCTTTAAGATCACGATGTCCAACCATAACCTGTCCACTACTAAACCATGTCTCTGGGCACCTCATCTACCCATCTTTTAACCACCACCAGGGATGATGACCCCACCACTTCCTTGGGCAGCCTGTTCCAATGTCTGATCACACCTTCA